GGAGGCTGAGGCAGTAGAATTGCCTGAACCTAGGAGGCGGAGGTTGCGGTGAGCCGAGATCGCGCCATTGCACTCCAGCCTGGGTAACAAGAGCAAAACTCTGTCTCAAAAAAAAAAAAAAAGGGAGGTGAAAAGCCAAGTGACACGTATGAAAAAGTACATCAAAAGTCAGCAGTTTTCAGCCTGAGCAACATAGCAAGTTTTTTCCTTCCCTCCCTCCCTCTTTTCCTTCCTTCCTTCCTTCCTTCCTTCCTTCCTTCCTTCCTTCCTTCCTTCCTTCCTTCCTGTCTTCCTTCCTTCCTTCGTCCCTCCCTCCCTCCCTCCCTCTCCCTGTTCCCCCCCACTTTCTTTCTTATAGGGTTTCACTCTATTGCCATGGTTGTAGTGCAGTCACATGATCTCGGCTCACTGCAGCCTTGACCTCCCAGGCTCAAGTGATCCTCCCATGTCAGCCTCCTGAGTAGCTGAGACTACAGGTGCATTCACCACACCTAGCTAAGTTTTTGTATTTTTAGTAGAGGTGGGGGTTTCACCATATTGCCCAGGCTGGTCTCAAACTCTTGAGCTCAAGCAATCTGCCCGCCTCAGCCTCCCGAAGTGTTGGGATTACAGGTATGAGCCACCTCATCCAGCCAACAGCAATTTTTTCTGATGGGTGATTTTTATCTTATTACTCTCTGTTTTTTTGTGTGTGTGTATTTGCCTGGTCTGGATTAAATACACTAATTTGCGATCAGAATAAAATGACTTAAAAATGAAAGACATCAGTCGGGTGTGGTGGCTTACACCTGTAATCCCAGCACTTTGGGAGGCCAAGGCAGGTAGATCACATGAGGTCAGGAGTTTAAGACCAGCCTGGCCAACATGGTGAAACCCCATCTGTATTAAAAAGACAAAAATTAGCCAGGTGTGGTGGCACATGCCTGTGATCCCAGTTACTCGGGAGGCAGAGGCAGAAGAATAGCCTGAACCTGGGAGATGGAGGTTGTGGTGAGCTGAGATGGCGCCACTGCACTCCAGCCTGGGTGATAGAGCAAGACTCCATCTCAAAAAAAAAAAAAAAGAAAGAAAGAAAAACATTGTAGCCATACCTACTTTTTAATGGTAGTACAGCAGGTTATGGTATGGGATGCATTTTTGGAACAAGATATTAACAAAAATTCAAAGGAACAAATGCATGGCCATGGAATTCCAGTGCTGAGAGGCATCTGGGAATATTGGGGGAGTTTTCCAAAAGAGGCACCCAGGTGCCTGTATTTGTTAAATGAATAACAAAAGGAAAAACAAAGTAAGGGAACAGAAAGGAAAGGAAGAGAGAAATACAAAGCTCTGAGAAGAGAAGGTGCCGGCGGCTGCTGAGTGACTGCCAAATGTTAATTTCGTTATCTGGCTTCTTATTTTATTCTGGGTAATGGTAGACCTATTAGGTTCTAGCTGCCGTAACAAATTACCAGCAACTTAGTGGCCTCGAACAACACAAATTTATTCTCTCAAAGTTCTGGAGGACAAAAGTCCAAAAATATGTCTTATCGGCTAAAATCAAAGTGTTACATTCCTTCTGGAGGCTCTAGGGAGAATCTGTCCTTCTCTTTTCTAGTTCTAGAGGCTGGCTGCGTTCCTTGGTTCATGCCCTTCTTTCAGCAATGGCATCACTCTGACCTCTGTTCCACTTGCACATCTCCTCACCTCCAACGCTTTTGCCTCCCTCTAATAAAGCGCCTCTGATTACACTGGGCCCAGCAGATAATCCAGATGACCTCTTTGTCTCAAGATCCTTAATTTAATCACATCTGCCAAGGGTTTTTTTTGTTGTTGTTTTGAGGTGGAGTCTATTGCCTAGGTTGGAGTGCAGTGGCGCAATCTCAGCTTACTGCAACCTCCACGTCCCAGGTTCAGGCAATTCTCCTGCCTCAGCCTTCCAAGTAGCTGGGACTACAGGTGCGTGCCACCACACCCGGCTAATTTTTGTATTTTTAGTAGAGACAGAGTTTCACCAAGTTGGCAAGGCTTGTCTCGAACTCCGGACCTCAGCTGATCCACCCACCTGGGCCTCCCAAAGTGCTGGGATTACAGGCGTGAGCCACAGCGCCCGGCAAGGTTTTTGTTTTGTTTTTGCCATTTAAGGTAACATATCCACAGGTTCTGGGGAGTCAGATGTGGACATCTTTGGGGCAGACAGTTCTCAGCCTCCCATACAAGGAAACCAGTAGATAAGGTTCTACTACCTACTAAGTGCATCTTAATCAGAACTTCTGATCCTTCAACAAGCCTGTGAAATATATGGTAGGATTTGCTTTTAAAGTTGAAGAAATCAAGCCTTTGGGATTTGCCCACCGTCAAAAAGCCGGGAGGCAAACCCGTGGTCAAATCCCAGGCAATTTGGGATTCTACCATGGTCAAGTAGTGGGGAGGCAAACCCAGGTCCCTGAACCCAGCTCAAGCCTGCCCGCCTCATTGCCCTGCCTCCATTTACCTCTCTGCTTCATGCCTACTTCCTCTTTCCTGTCTGGACCTGTTCCCCAGCTCCCTGGACAAGCTTAAGCTGCTGTTTTCCAGCTTGTCATGTGCTCCTGATGACAGTGTAGACACAGTTTGATCCTGGGGATTACTGATTGAGCAAGCTGAGTGGCTGCTCCTCAGAATCTTCTCTGAAGCCTTTCTCTTGCCTTCCTTTATTCAATAAGCATTTTGAACTCATTGTGCTGGGTGCTAGAATAAGCTTAGGTAATCTACAGCTAGACCTAAGCTGTAGATTACAGGAAAATCTGAGTGACACCTGCTGTCTCAGAAGCAGAGACTACAGCATCACAGGGAGCCAGAGCAGGGAGTTCTAAGCCCTGGGAACTGTATGACTCTTATTGACCCTTAAGCAAAAATCTAAGCTCCAGGGAACAGAGGCAGCAACTTGAGCTCCCTGGTTGACCAGATATGATTAATCTTTCTCTGTGTCTTGAACATGACTGTGCTCCATAAATATTTAAAAGTTGGGAAGAGGGTGAAGACAGATACACCAAAAGAGGTAAACAGTGTCTGAAACTAGCAAAGGGTTAAAAGTTGCCAAGAGAGTGCTCAGAGCTTTCGTCTTTTTTTTACCTAGCAACTGATGACACTGCATATTTTCACCTGTACTTATTGGAAGAAGGCCGTGTGTGTCACTCAGCTGCTAAATCACCCAAGGGGTTCACGGAAGGGACCTGTCAGTTTTTGGTTAAAAGAACCCAGAAAGAGAAGGACTACAGGGAACTGATGGTGTTCCTGTTACCTCTCATCATTGTATTAACGGCGAAGCAGAGCGATGCCCGTGAGTACTCCACATTCTCTTCTCCCCTAACTCCAAAGTCGAGGCAGCCTAGAAGGAACAGCTTTTCTTCCTAAAACTTGTGGTGGAAAATACAGAAGCCAGTGGCAAAAAAGTGTATGTATTACATCAAGACTCCAGGAGCAATGGACTACCTGAACAGTTTTCCAGTTCATATTTGTAGGACTTTGATGTCACCGCCTTCTGAGGCAGTGGGAGCCATTCTAGAAACTAGACTCCGGAACTTCCTCACTTTCCTTCTGAGTATGGTCCCCCTTCTTTTCTGCTCATATTTTTTCTTTTACTTTTGTTTCTCCTCTTCTCTAACCTCCAGAGTCTCATGAGGATGTCGTCAGAGTTTCAGGGGCATTAACAGTGGAGCAGATCCATTGTTCAGGTTTATTTAGTTTTCTCTACTCAACACAAGCCCTATCTGTAACAAAAGATCCAGGAAAGATAAAACCATGGCTCTGGGCTTGTTTACTGGCTGTGAGAAGTATTAATCAAGTAGAAGGGAGAGTTTTTCATTGTTTTAGGAGCTCATGTCACTGGGGAAGCAAAAGCCTTCTGTTGCCTTTAATAGGTGGGAGGGCCCATGGGCTAGAACTGCCAGGCTTCTCTGCTCTAGGCACCTGCTCTCTGGGCTGAGGACTGGTAGTGTGTCTAAAATGTAGGCTTGGCCACCACCTTAGGTATTACTGACGGACATGAGAGGAAGGAGCTCTTTCAAATCATCCATGCATGTAGAGAATGGAATGAGTGACAACGGAGATTCAGAAGGGTGAGAGAGGTGGATGATGAGAAATTACTTAATGGGTACAATGTATGTTACTTGGATGATAGATACTTTAAAGCCCCAACTTGACCACTACGCAGTCTATGCTTATAACAAAATTGCAGTTTACATCATACATTTATACAAATAAAAATTTAAAAATCATCCATGTATTAATTGTTCAAATATTGATTGATGGGCTACTTTGTGCCAGGCGCTTTGGGGGATATGGCAGTGAACAAATAGACATAGTCTCTGCTTCCATGAAAATTTAATCCAGAAAGTCTCATCATCTATGGGAAAGATTGGGGCTGAGGGTGAGAGGCAGAAGATGAAAGAGGAACAGAGGAGGGAGGTAAAGCGTGATATTTTTGGAAGTAAAAAACTTATATATTGCCTGCATGTGCTTCTCAAAGAACTCTCCAATAATATGGAATAATATTCCTTAAACATATTATCCCCTTGACAATCTCACTGACTGTGGTAGGTGAGGGAAATATCCCCATTTAAAGATGTGCCCTGGATTTTTCTCTAGGTCTGGAGAGCAACCAGGCTCACATAAGGAGCAGCCTGTAGGAGACTGCAGGTCTTCTGGCCCTCTGTCCGGGGCTGTTTCACAATGTCACTGTGCCTCTGGGTGTCAAGACTTGTCACTTTGATAATTGGGGGGATAGGAAATAAAACAAGTAAGTTACAAAGACAAGGGAAGGTCACTTGGTGCTGGTTGTTCTTTTGACTCCTCAGACTGCATCTTTCTCTGTTCTGTTTTGTGTCCTTGAGGCTGACTGCTAGACTGCATCACCTACACTCTCTTGCAAGCTGATTTCTGCTTGGGTTCACACAATGGGAAACACTGAAGGGAGAGAGGTCAGAGAGCAGGGAGGAAAGAGAGGCTGAGAAATGTCTTTCTTGCGCCTTCCCCTCCTTCTATAATGTCTCTGGCAGTAGCTGTGTGCTTCTGTGAGGTTGTCTTTCCTGAATAACCCCTTCTTCATGGTTCTAGCGCCCATTGGGCTTCAGTAATACTATTTGCTATTCTTCTCTCTCTTTTTTTTTCCCCATTTATTTATTTTATTGCATTTTAGGTTTTGGGGTACATGTGAAGAACATGCAAGATTGTTGCATAGGTACACACGTGGCAGTGTGATTTGCTGCCTTCCCCCCATCACCAACATCTGACATCTCTCCCCTTGCTATCTCTCCCCAGCTCCCCACCCCCCACCGTCCCTCCCCTATTTCCCCCCAACTGGGGTGATGGTGGCTTCCCATAGTTGTTAGCCTGCTGGTGCCCATCATTTCTGTTTGTTCCCTTAACCTTGACCATATCTCTGCAAGGAGTCGTCATTAAGGTCTCCTCACGTGACCATCTGGGCTGAAGGCTCTTTCCTGCTAGGACCCTAACTGAACATTCCTGGGCTTTGAGGGACATTGGCAGGGAAAGGATATGAGATTATGAAAAAATACTTGGTGTACTTGATATTTATGCCTAGTACTAGCCCTGAATGACTGCTATATACCATTAATAGATGGGGAAACCCAGAGAGGAGATTCTGCAGTGTTGTGGGTCATTACTCCAGGAAATGTCAACGTAAGTCCAATATCGCTTCCAGTGTGTTGCTTTTATTGACTCCATAGCCTGCAGTTGACTCCTCCTTCCTTTGTGCTCCCATAGCTCCTGTTCACAGTTCTCTAATTTTCCATTTACAAAAATCTTCCCTTTGAGGCACTCCTTAAAGACAGAAAGAGATGTTTTCATTTTTTCTTATTTCTCTGGCACTACCTACTGCCCAACAGGCACTAGTAAATACTTCCTGGGTGAATTTATGTTCGGAGGTAATGTCCCTAAGAAATCACAGTTATTTGACTGGGAGCCATAGAGAGCTTGGGCAGTAATAATGATTACAAATGCAAAACTGTGGCTTACTATAGTTGCAGGATTTGTGTTAAAAAGGTGTTTCATGCTTTTACAACTCATCTTGTTCTTCATTTCAGCCTGTGTGAAACTGTGAACTGGTGATATGGGTAGGTGTCATCAGACTGGGGGCCAGCATGAGATTTCTCATGCATAGCCATATGTGGTTTGTGTGTTTCAACTTGACATGATCAAGGTCAGTCTCTTGATATTACTCATACTTTTATGGCTGTCTCAATCTGCTATATCAATCTACTTCATGAACGGTGGAGTCCTTCACAGACGAGTCCTGACGATAGATAGGCTCCCTAAGCTGCCAACCAGGCTAATGTTAAAAAACATACGTGCATATTATCTGCTTAGAAGTGACCTTGAGTTCAAAGAGTTAACATGAGAAAATATGGGTATTTTCTAAAGACTTTATTAGACTTCAGTCTGTTTCCATGGAGCTGTTGCCAAGGTACATGCCATAGAAATTTCTCCAAGACAATGTTTCACTCCCCTAAGGCCTTTTTCTCTTGAGGTGGAGTCTTGCTCTTGTTGCCCAAACTGGAGTGCAATGGTATGATCTCAGCTCACTGCAACCTCTGCCTCCCGAGTTCAAGTGATTCTCCTGCCTCAGCCTCCCGAGCAGCTGCGATTACAGGCGCCTGCCACCATGCCCAGCTAATTTTTGTATTTTTAGTAGAAATGGGGTTTTGCCATGTTGGCCAGGCTGGTCTTGAACTTCTGACCTCATGATCCTCCCGCCTTGGCCTCCCAAAGGCATGAGCCACCGCACCCGGCCAAGGCCCTCCTTTTAATTGGTGTTGAATCTATCTAAATTTGAGAAATTCAACTAATTGGTAGATTTTTCTTTTGACTAGTTGAAATAGCTATCTATTCTCACTTGATCTCAATCCTCTTACCCCACAGTATTGGTGAGAACTGCAGGGAAGCAGCCTAAGTTAAAGATCAAACACATGACTCTTTGAACACTTAGTTTAGGGAGCTCAAATTGACACAAATGACAAAGTATGTTTTTTTCTGATGTCTGAATTTAAATTTATTGGGGAAAATCTATCAAGAGTATACATATTAAGTCACATTTTGCTATAACTTCAAAAGATCATTTTAAAAGAATAAAACTTATAAAATTGGGATTCTTCTGGGAAACATGAGACATATAGTTATCATTGTACAGGGAGTGTACTGAAGGAAAAAAGACACCAGAGCTCATTCATTCATTTTTTTGGTCAGGCGCGATGGCTCATGCCTGTAATCCCAGCGCTTTGGGAGGCCAAGGCGGGCAGATCACCTGAGGTCTGGAGTTTGAGACCAGCCTGGCCAACATGGAGAAACCCTGTCTCTACTAAAAATACAAAATTAGCCAGGCATTGTGGCGCATGCCTGTAGTCCCATCTATTCAAGAGGCTGAGGCAGGAGAATTGCTTGAACCCTGGAGGAGGAGGTTGTGGTGAGCTGAGATTGCCCCATTGCACTCCAGCCTGAGCAACAAGAGCGAACTCTGTCTCAACAATAACAACAACAAAAAAAGACAACAGAGCTCATTCATTCATTTTCCAAAACTCCACGTGGTCCTACAGAGCTCACTTCCTTACTCCATTCACATCTCTGCTCAAATGCCACCTCCTCTGGTCCCTCTACTTAAAAGATCAGGCCTCTCCTCTCCACTGTCTTTTCTCTGCTTTACTTTTCTTCATAACCTTTATCTCCACCTGACCTTGTATTATATGTGTATTTACTGCCAATCTCCTGGCTAGAAATTAGCTCAGAGGCCTGGGACTTTCGTGTGTGCATTGCTGTGTTTCCAGCAGCCAGGACTGTGCTTATTAGACCTTCAGAAAAGAATAAACCTATATGAAGTGAGACATTGGCAACCTTCCAAAGGATAGCCTCAGAAAAGTAGCTCACAAGCCAAACTTGTCACATTCAGCACTTTTGTGCTTTCAGTAAGTTCCCGTAGTTAGACAAGTCAGTAGGACAGGGGACTAACGGTTCTTGCTGCACACAGAACCATCCATGAACATGATGATGCCCTTAACTAAACATATTGCCACCTACTCCTCCCCCTCATTCCCACGATGCTCGAAATTCCAAAGAGTCATTCCAAGGAATCATAATCATTTTGACCTTATTAAGGCATTACGCTACTTGAGAGAGCCAACAAATAATCGGACTGTGTTGAGCTGGTTATCCAATCAGGACTCACTGCCACCTGCATGTAGGAAGGTCTGGAGCTTGCGGCCCCAGGGACTGGGAAATCAGTGGCAGTGAGTCATCCTTGACACAAGGGGGTGGGAGAGAGCAGTGATA